AATGTAATACTTGACTACAGTATATACATTCATATTTCAGTATATAATTGTGGCGCTGTAAGATTTTTCTTAAAATGTAACTTACACATTTATAGCCATAAAAATACATATTCCAGGTAAATGTGAGAAAAACCTAGTATATATATATATATAAATCCTAAATATTTCTTAATATTGGAATTATAATATTGTTACAATTTCTACTTTAAAGAAAATCCAGTATTTGGATTTCATACCACTTGAGTAATGCTAGATTAGTTTTAGTTAGATGGTACACAACCAAAAATTAAATAAAATTTTAATGGGTACAGAAGAGGTCGTGAGAGCAAAATATAGAGGAAATGCACGAATATAAAGCAAGTTCTATATAACCAAGTATAAATAGTGCAGCAATTGAACACACTAAGAAAAAGAGATGTTTAAAGATCTCACAGGATCACTCTTCAGTCCCATTGTGTGGAAATAGATAGTAAAAATTGGTAAAATAGTAAAAGTTCTTATAACACTAAGATAAATTCGTTAGAATTCTACAGTGTTTATAGAAATGTAAGTCTACTACAGCTAAATTTATTCTCATTTGTTCCTTATATTTGTATTGTACATCTATAATCATAAATATAGTAATAGATTCATTGTAGTCAGAGTTTGCGAGGGAAACAATTTAATACAGGGCACATAATTTGTAGAATTATTTTTATAACAATCATCCAAAAAGTCAAATACAAAAGAGTGGAGGAAATCTGCCCACACACTAAAATCCAAAGAATTTAGTTGAGGGTCTGGATTGCATGGCAATGTCCTGCATGAGTCCAGCTGGAGGCCTAGAGCCAGTGACAAAGTCTACGAAAGTCTGTTTCACAGATCTGTGCTTGGAAGGCCAAAGGTCAGTGGTGGAAGCTAGAAAGTCTATGTTAGCTGGATGAAGGGTCTACGCCAGCAGGCTGAGGGACCTGCACTGGAGGTCCCAAGTCTCCTCCAAGATGTAAGGCAAACTCTTAACTGTGAGCCCTGTACAAATGAAGAGAAAGTTAAACACTTCCAACATTCAATGTTATGAGATAAACATTTCCATTCCAAAAATTACAAATAGGGGGATACAAAGGAATGGGACCAAAGCAGGTCCAAAGTCCAAGAGGGCAAATATTAAGTCCTGTTGTTGCATGTGTACCATCCAGAGCAATCTGTGACAAGTTGTGAGCTCCAAAGTGTTTGTGTGACTCTGCCCCTATGGCACTTCTGATGATTATAGCTCCTGTGGCTTCTCTTGTAGGGCTTCTCTGATCCCTCTTTGCAGGTTTCCTGGGACAATCCACATTCCTGGCTTCTCCAAACTTCTAGGGTCTCCTCTTGCTTCACACTCACAGCCTCACATATTGCCTTCTCAGGGGAACACTGCCTGACCTCACACATCTCCTGAAATCTGAATGGAAGCCTTTTTAACCTCAGAACTCTTGGATTCTGCATGTGCCGAAAACCAGCACCACATGGATAATGCTGAAGTCTGCTGCCAGCTGGAGCAGTAGCTAGGCCTTCTTCCTTCTTGGCTGTAGGGTTGTACTCTGGAGCCAGGAAGTGATGCTCAAAGTAAGAACCAGAGCTCCCCCGAAAAGCACCACAGCCATCCTCAGAAACATCCAGGTCCCAAGCTCTTCCAACAATGAGAACATCCAAGTTCATATCAGGAAAGGCAGCATGACAAGCTTCTCCAGGAGAACAAACAGCACCACCTCTTTCTCTTCAGTTCTCTTTATTATATTGTTGGTAACAATCCCCAGGTGGGCCCTCCACACTCAGCATCATGCTGGTGCAGTTCAGCAGGGTGTTAAAAGCTGACCACCAGTTGACAGTCCACCAAAAAATTATAAATGCAGTTTCCTTAAGCTACGGTAAATTTCCTAATATCTATTTGAAAATGGAAATTATTTTTAGATAAATTTTTATGCTATTTTCATTATTCCTGTGCAGGAAACATTTTAATAAGTTCACTATTAAAATGATATTTATGAACCATAGTATAAATACTTTAAAGATAAGGCACAGATATGTGTTTTTGACCATTAAATATGAAGTCTATAGAACAAGTTAAGTAGACACATTATTTATGGGATAAAAACAAAAATGTAGTTACATGTTCACTTAAAATTTATTTATACATAATGCACCACATTCATTCACCCAGAAATTACTTAGAATTGTAGAAGAATTACTGAGTGACATCACTTAATGTATTTCTTCAGATTTTCCATCCTAAAATATTTAAGATAACATAAACACAAGAGAGATTTATTTTTTCCTTAATGGCATTTAACTTGTGTTTTGTTCTAGATGTTGACATAGAAAAGCAGAAAAACAAACAAAGCCAAATCTTGAGTATGGCAGGGAATGCAAATTAAAATACTTGATTTTGAATCGTAACTAGAGATACTGACAGTATGTTATTCTGTTTTTCTGTTAAATTTTTCCTTTAATTAGCTTCTGAACACAATTTGTATGTATCACTTGGGTAGTGCAATCTATATGTTTAACTTGGGTAATACTATACTAAGTTTGGGTAGCAATGTAAGTGTCCTAGATTGTTTAAATTAATAAGCTCTAAGGAAATTTTTATTTTAATTTCTAATATTTCATTCAATATATGATTCCAAGGATAATATTTACAGGGTACAGTTTTTGTACACAAATGTTTAAACTATGGTTCATGAATATCATTTGAATTAATAGTGAACTTATTAAAACATTTGTTGTACAAGAAAAACAAAAATAGCATAAAATTTATCTGAAAATAACTTCCATTTTCAAATAGATGTTCTTGATCTTACAGTAGCTTAAGGAAATTTCATTAAATTTATATTTAACTAAATGTCTCAGAAGTTTTGCAGCCTCCTAATGAAAAAGTGTCCCAAGTACTCTAATGAAAAATCATCCAATTCAATACTTGAATAAGAAAGTTTAAAAAAAGTAGAGATGAATCTATTATGTGCCTTTATATAGAAAGATAAATAAACACTCTATAATATTATATGCATGTGAAAAAGCAAAACAATCATCTAAAAATGTCATTCACATATTTAGTAGTTTAATTTTATGGTTCTAAAAAGGAAATGAATAAAATCAATGCTTTTGAAGTCAATTAAGCAAGCTTATGCAATTTTCCTCTGTGGAAAACTACATAATCTGTATTTTTGAACTCTTCAGAATATTTTTAAAGTATAAACTTTGTAAAATATTTGGAATAACACATACAATGTGAACATATTATTTTCTCAGGAATATGAGCTAATCGGAAATAGATTTATATATAAGCATAATGCTTCTGTATTGTTCAAAAATTTCTCCTTGCTCATCTGTCTTTTGTAAATTTTACTGTTATGCATATGCAAATAGGTTGCATATGTTATTTATAAGTAGAATAATGGGCCCATTATCTAAGTTAAGGTCCAAAAAGCTAGAATACTTTGCATCTACCCACATGCTCTTCCTTTAAGTCATTACTACATCTACCTTAGCTGAATTCTTCTATGTTTACTTCATCAGTCAACTTTCTTTGAATATCACCACAAGGTTTAGTGGCAAGTAATAAATATTTATCTCTTAATTATAATGATGTGGAAAGGTTAGAGTGGCCGCAATATAACCTGAAAGCATAAATTCTGATGTCCTCCTTACTTGTTATCTCTAGAACCTTGGAAAGAGTCAGAAGCATAAATAGGAGAAAGCATTCTGGCATTTCCCCTCTCATTTCCGGGGACCTAATGTGCCCTATGTCCAAAGCCAACATCTCAGATGTGTGATACGGACAGACTGTGTGGTGAGGGTGTGAATATTTGTTCAACACAAGTTTAATTTATTATCACTGTATCCATCTCCTGCCCCCCCCAAATCATTGATCATTTACTTGTGCAGTAAAATCTCAAAAGAAGAGAAAATAGGACCTCTCAAGTTTTTCACAATTTAAACTACAGAAGTCACTTGTATCTTTATATTTATGAATTTATTTAACCTTTATTAAGAAGTGTACAATGTGCTACAGGCACTTTATATACTTTTTCTCCCCAGTGCATTCCATTACTTAAGATTTTATTTTATTACATTTGGAACTTTTTTCTGAATATAAAATATTTGCGGTAATTCACCTTTTTATGTAACACAGCTTTTGAAACCCAGCATTATGGACGTTTTCATTCACTACCTGGAAAATGTAGTCACTCAGTAGAGGGAGTTTGGCACTTAGAAGAGGTCCTTAGGCAGCTGCTTCCACACTCTGGCTATCTAGTGTATAAAATGTACCTGATCCGGGAAAAGAATAGCCCTAGGAAATAACGCCAAGGAAATAGTGATCTTTGTTTTTGAGATCTGCAGAACTGAAAATAATCTCAAGACCATATGGTAAGGATCTGCTATGCATCATCTTGACTACTGTCTGTGAGAATGCACTCACTAACCAGGGACACACATTAGCCACCTCTGTAATCCTCCGCTTCGTTGCCTTTACAGCAAGAAGGGCTTTGACACAAGAGTATTCCTCTCTTCTCCTTGCACCAACTTTTCAAATAAAGTCATTTCTTTGTTTCAACATTTTTTTCTCTTCAATATTTTAGGATAAGTATCCGATCGTAAAGCTGGTAACATTTTTTAAATTGCGTTACTAATAATAGCAATCACAGGGGCTGGGGATTTAGCTCAGTGGCAAAAGCGCCTGCCTGGCAAGCGCAAAGTCCTGAGTTCGGTTCCCGGTACCGGAGAAAAACCAAAAAAAAAATAAAATAAAATAATAATAATAATAGCAATCACAAATACCAAAAATACAAGCAGGCATGATAAATAAGCTCCAGAATTGCAACACGTTTAAATTTTCTGAAGTTAAAATTACTATAACTAGATGAACTTCATATCCAAATAGACATTATTAACTTAAAATCCAAATAGACAATATAAACTTAAAATCCAAATAGACAATATTAACTTAATAGCCAAATACACAATATTATAAAATAGCTTACCTTGTCTGTGGACTATGATTTCCTATATATAATCTAGAAAAAAAATCATCAGTAAAAGATTATGTTAACTTATCTGTAGAAAGTTTATTTCTCTAAGAGGACATTCAAACATGTAAGTAGTTATGTAAGACAATTTATTATGTAAGACAAAATTTTAAAATTATTTTTGTTTTATTCTGTTTTAGATAGGATGAGATTTCGTCTTTTGAAAAAAGTGTGAGTAAACAGGAATTTTTCAGGAAAAGACTAAAAACATAGACTTCATATGATATTACATTGTATTATCAAACATCTCAAAAATATAAATCCAAATTAAGGCATTTTTATCAATTATAAAATGAGACCTGAGAAGCTTAACTTTATTTGCCAATTTTTCTTGCCTAAAAAAGAATGACCAACAAGATTTGTGAAGAATAATCTCTGTGTATATGTTTATCAGAATATTCCATGTCTAGTAGTGTGACAGTCTTACCTTCAATTCTGAAATGCTGCAGCACAATGTTTGAGCAGATATCTTTGAAAAGCTTACTTTTCACAATACTCCAAGTAGCTCCCATGAAAAACATATATCATTTTTTCCTTTTTGACACTATCATTGTAAAATTCCAAGATGGAAACAAAAGTGGAAAAGTTCAGTTTTTAAATTAAAAAATAACTTAGATGAATTTACTTTCACTAAGAAAGGAAAATGAAAAGCCAACTGTAATGCAGACATCCTTTGTCCATGTGACTTTCAAAGTGTTTTCACACCATCTTATTATTTGTAGGATAGTACCATAATATAAAAATAGACTTGGTCTACTTACTTTAAAGACTGTCATGATATTTTGTTTATATCTCTAATTCTGTTGAAAAAGGACTTTTCTATTGGTCAAAAATTGTAGTTGAACATTGAATATGTACATGTGAAACATTCTGTTACTCAGATTCATCCTATTGTGAACACCCAAACCTGGATGATGGGGATCAATAAATCATTTGACATTCCTCTGAAGGCAAAGAAGAGATGCTGTGTACAGGAGATGCGTGAGGATGCCCCTAGCATAAAATATGAGCTAGACAGAATTCTCTAGAGAATGGAGAATCTACAGTGGCTGTCTGTGAGCTGAAGAGCTGGAGGATTCAGTAGCTACCCAGCCAAGATGAAAGAATGTATAGAATAAGAAGAATCTAGGATACTCTAACCATCCCAGATTGAAGACCTAGAGGCTCACTAGAGTTGCCTGTGTGAACCTGCGTTGGAAAACTGAAGAAACTAGAGACTAATGTCCATTCAGAATGGTAAAGACTGGAGCACTTCCAAAAGGAGAACAATTACTGTTTTTCCTTTTAATCCTCTCCACCCTACAAGCATATTTGTTGCTACCAATCATAAGTTGGGTGAATGAGGTTGGTCTTTCCTGCCCTTTTCATTGGCCTCCATGTCAGTTATTGACAGATACATCCAGAATTTAATCTCGGAAGGAGTTCCTACTCACGTCAGGTTGACTTGTCAAAATTAACAATCATAATGACATAATACTTTCCAGTTAACAAGTTTTACAAGTGGAAAATAGTCACACTGAAACAACTAAGGCTGAGAGTGGGTACCCTCTTCTATGGTCCCAGAGCTGCAGAGGCTGAGGCAGAATGACTGTGAGTTCTAGGTCAGTTCATACTCAATTGAATTCCAGCCTGGACTACTTAGGCACATTCTGCTACAAAACACAAAAGCAAAAGCAAATAAAAAAGCCAAACAATAAAAAATATAATATGCTAAACAACTAAGCCAGAAACATAGCTATTTATTATCAAATGCTATATACTCTATATAATTATCTGTCTTGTTCTGTACTTATATATAACTAGTAGTGGAATAGGTATGAAGAATTTTTACAAGCAGTAAAATATTTCAATTTCATAGTTTAAAGCTAGATACAAAAATCACCACAAATCCCAAAGTAATACATTATATTATGTCTGGATTCCTATAAACTCATTAGGTGGAAGTAATTTTTCAATTCCTTTTAATCTTATGGGGTCACTATCATACGTATTCTTGTCTTCTCACTAAAACCTCTTTAAAGAATATGTGACAATATTTCATAATCTCTTAAATCTTTGCTATTTCTTTTTTGTTTGTTTGTTTTGGTTTTTTTTTTCCGGTACCGGGAACCGAACTCACGACCTTGCGCTTGCCAGGCAAGCGCTTTGCCGCTGAACTAAATCCCCAGCCCCCTCTTTTCTATTTCTTAACCATTGGTCCAAATAAGCAAAACATTAACAGCCTAATGACAAAAGGAGTGAAGAGGGGCAGAAAGAAAAAATTCCAATGAACAACAAAAATTCAGTGTAGCAATTATGCCATTATTAATGAATGATATTTCTTGAATCAACAACCCTTCCAAGGAATAAAACTTGTCTATGAATTGGGATCATCTTTATGGTTTTTATAAAATATGATCATTTTATTAATATGTATTGCTATTGCCAGATTCAACATTTTTATATCATGAAATTAAGCCTTCCAATTATAAAAGAACCTTGTGGACTCTAGGTAATGTCATTTGCTTTAAAATCAAACACTCCGGTAACAACTAGAGCTAAGTCCATAAATGCTTTCAGGAAGAATTGCTTATGTTAAAATATAAAGTAAGATGTAAGGATATAAATAATGCATAAAGGCAAAAGTAAATATATTTTCTCTGTATTTCAAAATAATTTTTCCTAAAATGATACTGCTTAGTATTAGAGTACTCTTGTAGAAATGTAGATCGAACACCAATACGTCATTTGATCTCGGTGCTACATTAAAATTTTCTATTTCCTACTGACAGTAACTGATACTTTGTCATGATGTTAGCTATTATAGATTAATTCAAAAACTGTAAGTGAACTGTATCAAAATTTATTTAATAGAAAAAGAATTTTTAAAAGCAGTAACATATTTAAATTTCATAACTTAAAGCTAGATATGCTCAATTATTTAATCATTAACAAATTAGTCAGTTAACCTCATGTACCATAATTTTGTATTATGATAACATGATTTAAATAAAATAATAAATGAAAATTAACTTAAAACTGTAAAATTAATACACAAATTCAGTTATTTGTATATGTATGTAAGTAAATTATGATTAAAGCAGGGAATATTGGAACTGCAATCAATCTTAGGATGTAGCTTATGATTAAATATTTTATTTGTGTCATGCAGATTTTTAAAGATGTATATAAGAATATCCAGATGATGTATTTTTAATGTATTGACTTTGCTATTTTTATGTTGAGAAATACACGCCTAGGGGTTGAAATTTCATTTTTATGATTTTCTAAGTTGAAATGGTTCCTCTATTTTCTTGCTGTTTGTATGGTCAAAACTGTCCCCTTTGTAGTATGCTAATTTCAGTTACAAAAGGAAAGACTAGAAGGGAAATCCCCAGTGACCAACTCCCTCTGGTACATTTCCAAGAATTAGCAATGAAATAAAAACAGCAACAGGTAGAGTGACTTAATAGGAAGTCAATAGGGACAAAGTTCAATAAGTAAGTCATGTTAAATGAGATTTAAACGAAACTCATGCTTATATTCAATGTGGTGATCATGAATCCTCAAATAGCAAACTGTCATTTTAAAAAATGAAAGGATGGTATTATATCTACTTTCTCTTGTTCTCTCACTTTGTTCCCTTAACCCGTCATCCTTTTGTATATGACTGCACAGCTTACACGGAGGTGTGAGTTCTAAGATGTAATATTTTAAGGGGTTGAAAGTAAGTTGTTGAAGAATTTTAATAGTAAGCAGTTTCCAGAGGCGTACAGAACACTGTGGATGTGCAGATGACTCTGGAAGGAATAATTTTAATAAAAACAATTGTGCAGCACAAAATTCCAATTAATCTCCTAAAGCACTGCGCTGAGAAATGGTGGAGCTAGGGAAACATTTGATTAAGTCCTCAATATAAGAGAGAAAAAAGAGAGAGAGAGAGAGAGAGAGAGGCAGAGAGACAGAGAGACAGAGAGACAGAGACAGAGAAATCTAAAAATCAACACATATGACTAATCTATTCCAAAGATGCTAACAGAACTTTGTTAGAAAGTAACGAATAGGTTCTCTGTTGAATATCACAATGCTTTAAAAATATTTAAAAGTAGAGTAGACATCAGAAGAAATGACCAGAATGTGTACGTAAAAATAAACAAAGGTCGGAAAAAAGGAAATGATCCTGGAACAGAAGTGAACGTGTCCCACCCTCAATTTGAAGGACTACTACGGCATATGTGAAAAAAAATGTTGAATAACTGGGACTATTATAAAGATAGAAATATGTAGCTTTTAAAACTTCTATTAAGACATCTTAATATTATCTTAAATTTCTATTGTAAGTAAGATTACTATTACTTTGAATTTTAGGAAAGATTTTTCCTTCTAAAATCAGAATAGGCATCAATAATTCTGCTTGATTTTTAGAAAATTCTGAAAAAAAAACCCTCCATTTTGTTGTTTTGAGTAAATGTTTCTGAATTTATATAAGTGATATTACTTCAAATAACTTTTTAAAGTTACAATATAATATATACAATGTAAATTTCACTGAAAAGCAGTGTCTTAAATGGAAATATCCAAACATGTCAGATTATGAAATTTCAATTACTGTTTCCTATTCCCCTCACCCAAAATTTCTGATCTAAACTTTATAATCTTACTATATTTGACATAAATACTCATATAAATTTGGGTAATAATAGGATTGATATCATTGCTAAGAATTTTTCACACAATACTTGGCATAGGGTAGGAGTCTACGTTTTCATATTCGTTTTCTTTGCCCACTATTGTCACAGTACTAAATTATGAGCGCAGAGCATCACTGAGCTGGAAATAATTCCTTAGACCATTTGTAAAGTGAGGTGACTCACTAGCAATTGATTACTAAAAGTGCTCCACTTTTTAGATGTCAATATTCTTTCCAGATTACTGAGTAATGAGGAATGGATATACTGTACACTGTATTTATTTGAAATGTGCAAAATTATATATATATATATACGGACACAAATATATAACTAACACTTAAACTTTTACTTTTGATTAATTTTTAATATGTAAAGATGATTTCTAAGATGTTTTCCTTTATAAATTGACATATATCTTTGTAAAAGAAGGAATGTTATTTTTTAAAATGGCAAATCCTATATAAAATTAAGTATTTGCTTGTTTTTTCTGAAAAAGAAACATTAAAAATATTGATTTGAGAAATTATATATTTGGTTAAAATCATAATAAAATAGAGTAACTTGGATACCAAAGCATTCATTTCTTATGTGCACTCTAAAAATAAAACTGGCAATTATGAAGAGAAAATTAAATTGCAGGGTGCCATATGCAGTGACTTTTACAGTTGCTTCATATTGATTACATGTAATTTTTATAGCAAGCCTCCTTTAACTTTAAAAGGGATTTAGAAATTAGACGTTTTTATTTTACTACATGATATATGATCCAATAGAAGTGCTCTAGAAAAACTGTCAATTCAAATTTGCATTTTTACTGCATTTAAAAATGTCCTGTTTGATATTATAAGAACTGTACAAGAGATAGTCA